AGGCAGATAATAGTGATTGAAATTAGAAATTTAATGAATGATTTAATAAAAATTTAGACACAAGTGAACAGATAATTAGCAAATTAGAAAATACAGCAGGAAAAATACATGGGTTGAAGCTGAGAGAAAAATGAGAAATAAATAAATATCTGAAGTCAGACATGAAAATAGCTAAAACCAAAATTCTAGATCTGAAATGATAAATTCACCGAATAGTGATATAAAATGGTAAGCAATAATTAATTAACTTTAAATAACAATATTAATCATCTGACCCAAATATTTAAGAAAGAGATTGATCCTCTTTAATCTGTGTAATGCATCCATAAGTTAACAAATGCTTAACAAAAACATATGAAGATATATTGAAAAAAAGACTGCTGAAAAAACTCACAAATTTTGTACAAAACATCAATTTAGAACCTCAGGAAAATCAACAAACAGCTGTTAGGATAGAAAGAAAATCCTACCTAGAATATAATTGTCATTACCAACAGAGGAAGTGGAGGGATTCTCAAAGAAACAAACTCAGAGGGCAGGACTGCTGTCTTCAGAAAAGGAACTGCTAAGTTAGAATTCTGACTTTAGAGAAAATATCTTTTTTAAAAAAAATCAAAACCAAATTTATCTATTTGCTGTGTGTGTGGTGTGTTGGCATTCTTGTACCATGGTACATTACCAAAAACTACAGGACAGCTTAGGATGACTGCTTCTCTTCTACCATGTAGATCCCAGGGATTGCTCGGGTTCCCAGGACTGGCAGGAAGTATCTTTGTTCAATAAATCAGAGCACTGTCCTAAAACATGTTTCAAAAAATATATATACTCCTCGTGGTCCTGACATCCTTGCTAATGTTCTCCCTCCTTCCGCTCCTCACCCACTGAGATAGTAGGGCTGATCTATTGGGAGCTCACCAAGGCCAGCTGGACTGTGACTGAAAAAGCATGGGATAAAACCAGACTCTCTGATCATGGCAAACAATGAGGGCTGATGAGAAGCCAAGGACAATGGCACGGGGTTTTGATCCTACTTCATGTTCTGGCTTGGTTGGAGCCTAGCCAGTTTGGATGTTCACCTTCCTAGACATGGACAGAGGGGGGAGGACCTTGGACTTTCCACAGGGCAGGGAACCATGACTGCTCTTTGGACTGGAGACGGAGGGGGAGAGGAGTGGGGGGAGGGGGAGAAGGATGGGAGGAGGGGGAGGGAAATGGGAGGCTGGGAGGAGNAGGAGGGGGAGGGAAATGGGAGGCTGGGAGGAGGCGGAAACTTTTTTTTTCCTTTTCTCAATAAAAAAAATAAAAAAATTTAAAAAAAGAAATATATATACTGAGGTTTTCATTTTAACTACTGTGAAAGCTCAGGCAAGGTAATGGCAAGTTCAAGGCCTACCTGGGAAACTTAATTGAGACCCTGTATTTTGATTGGTAATACATATTCATAAACATTAAAAAGGGGGTGTTAAATAACAGAGTGCTTGCCTAATATGAGCAAGGCCCTAGGAGTAATACCAATGTGAGCGAGAGGAAGGGAACATTGGCAAGGACTGAAGGATGGTGTCTCATGACCCTGAGAGTGCTTCAAGGATAGAAAGTCACAACAGGGTGGCCACTCCTGTAGTCAGAGACCTGGCTGATGCCATAATGGGATCACCACCAGTACAATAGATGAGTATGAGCCAGGGTGATTCTGTTTGTGCTTATAGTAGACTAGATAATGAAACATTTGGGGATTGGACATTGCCATATAGTTAATGGTGATGATACTACAATATTTTCAGGCTCCTCTTCAAAAGTCCAATCTCCTTTTACCCTGCCTTGCTGAAGAGGTATACCAGTGAAGTTCTAGCTCTTTAGCTCCATTTAAAATTTTTCTTTACTTACTATTTTTTCATGAACATATGAGCTTAGAATGTATATGGAAGGCAAACAGGAACATGCTAATTTGGTAGCTTAATATTGATCAAAATTTCTCTACATCCAGTACATTTCTAGAGAATATTTGGTAAAATTCTGCTATGACTTGAAAAAAGCTGGAAAAAACAATTGCTGGTCTAATTTTTTTTTTTTTTTTTTTTTTTTTTTTTGCAGCACAACCTCAATTTTCTACGTTGGAAATTCAATTTGTAAATCTCAATGTACATCCCCCAGACAGTTAATTACACATTGCTGGAAATGATTTGAGCAGCTGAAATAATTTTGTATCAAGTGCATTTATAATTCCTAGGAGGACAGCTATTCAGCTTAGAAAGGCTAAATCCAAGGTGCCACCCCTGGAAAGGTCCCCCATCTGCCTCTCCGTCTCCCAAGCAGAAAAACTCATTTTCAAGCCCTTTCTACCACTCCCGGAGGCCCACCCCACCACCTATTCAGGCTTCCACACCTTTGTTAAGCTGCATGGCACTTTTTTTGTTTCTCTATAATTCCTCCTCCTTCCACCAGTAGACTCAGAGAACTTCCATTCATCCATTTCATCCATCTTGATTTGCCAAGTTGCATACAGACATATTGATCTGACAGAATTTTATTGTTTATCATAAATAACCACATCACCAAATTGGACTAGATACAGTCTTCTATTAAACTACACTGCTTCCCAGCACAGAAGGAGAGGAAATAGATATATGCTTGTTGAAATAGGAGCGGCGGCGGGGCTGCGTCCCCAACACCCCGGCCGCTTGGCTAGCTCATGCCCGAAATAACAACACACAAACTGTGTTCATTTAAGAACTGCTTGGCCCATGAACTCTAGCCCTTACAGGCTAATTCTCGCACCTGGACTAGGCATTTCTAATGATGTGTGTAAGCACCCCAAGGTGCACTTACCGGGAAGAGTCTAGCCTCCGTCCATCCTGGTGTCTCTGCTCCAGAGAGCAGAGCTGTCCGGTCTCTCCGGGAGCAGAGCAGAGTCTGACCTCACTTCCTCTTCCGCCCAGCATCTTATTCTGTTTATTCCTCCCACCAATGCTTTAACCTATGAGGCCAAGCAGTGTGTTTATTACTTAACCAATGAAATCAACAGATTGATATATGACACTCCCACATCATATGCTTATTAGTACCAACTGATTGGTAAGGTCATGAATATACATACAGATAAAGTTAGGTGGTGCAGTGGTTACCTTTGCCTCCCAGAAAAAGTAAGTCTTGAGCCCAGCTGTTTAATGGGCACTAGGTATTGACCGCTGGTGATGTGCCATGCAGCTAGAGAATGCCAAACTGAACAAAAAAAGCCCTTACCTCTTCTCTTCTCTGATGACTTGCAACCTTGAGTTAACAGCTTGAAGAATGACACAGGTAACAAGGCTGATCCCTGACTCTTTAAACTGTTAAAACATCGACTTCTTACGTGCCAGTGATAGGCAGCCCCTTTCCCAGTGCCCTCTCCACTTCCTTCTGATCCTACCCTCCTGTCGGCAATCTCTCTTCAAATGTCAATTCTATAATCTTCAGTCTTCAGAGTTCTTATTTGCTAGGAACGCAAGTTTTAATACAATATATATAAAATATTTTATATTTATTCCCAAGAGATATATTTTGTCATGGGGGGCTCAAAACTCAGAAGAGAGCAATATTTGGTCAAGTACGAATCAAAGTAAGAGTGAAAATTTCAGACTGGCGAAGAGAATCAACGGGATTGAGGGACTAATGATTCACTGAAAGACTTTTGGCAGTTCTGCATATAAGAACAATTCCATGGCTTTGCTGATAGTCAGGCACAAATGGAGAAGGGGTTTATGGTACCTCTCATTGTTGCAAATTTCAGAAAGAAGGGGAGCCATTGCCTTTAGCTGTAGACCAGTCAGTGGCGAGTTCTGACACAATGCTCTCACAAATGGCTCTGGTTAAACCAAATGCTCACTGAAAACAAAGCTGCTGCACATCACACCCGTCTGTGCTCTTTGCACTGCCATAGAGTTCGTGAACCAGGCAAGGGGTTGGAGATTGAAACACACAAAGACTCACAGACAGAGAGAGACACAGGTCATCCTTGAAACAGGAATGCCCCCCTATCATGTACCAGGAATGCTTATATAGAGATCCTTAACTGATAGCCACGCCCCAGCCACATGCACCAGAAACCACTCCCCTGCCATCAGATACTCCTGAGGGTCTCATGCTCAGAGCAACTGCAGGCTGTCTCAGAGCAGAGGAAAACAAGTTGTTTACAAGACATTCAGGATCTGAGGGTTCACAGCTTCCAACACAAAGCAACTGGTTAGGGTGAGAAGACAAGAACAGATGTGGGAGAATGTGTTGCAAACATATATAAAATGATCACAGAACAACAATTCATCAAATGAACGTAATATAAAAGTTAAATATAATTCTGACCAGCCAAGCATGTAAGAGCTCGATGTTTGTTGAACCAACTCTCAGAAGGCTAGATAAATGCATATTCTCCTATGACTGTTCTACCACAGTGAACCAGAATCTACATTTACAAGATGAAATAGAATAAAAAGCAACCTGGTGAACAGTAGAAAGTGGACTTAAGTCTTGCTCTTATGATTGCAAACCCTTCACCAAAGGTAAGCAAGGGTGTTTAATTAAGGTTATTGCCTCCTCTGCAGGGAGTGTGTCCTTGTTTAGACAGGTGACAGACGCTGTCATTTCACTATTAAACCTGACTTCAGTATTAGAGCATTAGATGCTGGGAGATCACCTGGGTTAAAAAAAAAAAACAACAACAAACTTTATTAATCTGGATTTGATTATTTTCCATTTCAGTTAGAACTTTCCGCCAAATGTGATAAAATGCTGAACCAATGAACTTATTCATCATTGTGAACAGGCATGGGATTGCTCAGAAGTTTTATATTAAAAAAAAAGGGCCAATAAAAAATACTCGGTTTTTTGTCAAGTATTGACAGAACTTTTTTGCCATTACTTTAATTTCTGTCTTGGATAAGAGATAAAACGTTTTTCATTAGTGGATGTTTGGTTAACTGATAATTAAACACCCCAAATGAGATCAGTACAAATCACTGTTTTATTTGACATCACACACAGTTCCTGGGCTTCCTAGCTGGCCGTCACTGTTCTGAGGATACCATCAATTACGATACAATCACTATCCTTATATGCATAATATGTGATTTCCCCTGTTCTGTCTTAACATTAAAAGACAAATCATCTTCAATGCACATTAATTTTAAAAACATTTTAGCAGCAGGCTTCAAGGAAAGATCTCATCTATAACTATGCACATTTTCCAGTTTAATTCCGTTAATACGCACAGGTAGAATGCTTTCATGTTCTCCAAGGCCTGCATATTTTTTGTGATAAACAATATGGAATTAAATACAACACAAAGCCAGTTGTCATTTAATACTGTTTAATATTGAACATCTTTTTTGTGAAATTCCAGACCACCTTAAAGAAATACAGAGGTCTCTTGCTCAGCATCATCGGAGCATCTCTTGGGTAGGATGCTTCTGGTGTCTGCAGCTCCTCCTATGATGGGCCTCACACGCGGTCACTCATCATTGCTATGGATTGGGAAGCGCTCTGGAGGAAGCACAGATTCCAGTCTCTGCCAGCGCCCTGGAGGCCACAAGATATGTGTGGCATGAGCATGCAGAAGTCCCAGAGAAACCTGAATTCAGGGGAAACACAGAGACGAAACATAGATATCATTTTATACTGACCGTTATAAATAGCTTGAAAAGCTCATTTGATTCAGGTCTCTGACGTGTCATGGAAAGACTATGACTGAAAACAGACAACACTTAGAGTCATTTTCCTAGGGGCTTCACAGCTATCAGAACCTGAACCTTCACAACAGTCATTTGAGGGAATTATGGTTTTAATTTTCTAGAACAGGAAGCTAAGTTTAGAGAAGTTTAGAAAGTCATGTACATACAATGCATTGGAACCTGGCCTCAGTACTGGGCTGACTCTGACATTAACCTCCACCCTCAACAGTCTGTTTACACAGACCTAGGAAACACAAATCCAGTCTATAGTCTCAGACCATCCCCTAGAGCTATTGTCTGAGAGAGACCCTCATAAAACAGTCATAGAGGCCCAAATCCACATTTATATCTCAAAAGCAGTGTTCCATTGCGGGATAAGCACTCAGAGCTCAGGTGTGATTCTGGGTGGAGATTGCTGTCAGGGCAAGCGAAGTGGAAGACTAGGAGAGAGAAACACCAAGATCGTGGCTGGCTGAACACAGAACAGCGTTTGTAGAGGTGCGCAGAGCTCTGCTGGGAGAGAAGAGACCTAACAAATATAGATGGGATCAGCTCAAGGGAGAGCAAGAAGCCCTGGGGACTTAAGAACAGTGTCTTTCCTTCTAATCATCCTGAAAATAAGACTTAAAATAAGCACAAAATTGGCTCTACAACACAAAGCCAGTTGTCATTTAATACTGTTCAATATTGAATTTTTTTGTGTGAAATTCCAGACCACCTTAAAGAAATACAGAGGTCTCTTGCTCAGCATCATTGGAGCAAACATCATGTCACCTGTACTTTGCTGCAGTAATTCACTCTCACTAATCTCTGCACACACATCAACATATATATCATACTTGTCTGCACATCAGTATATACATTATACTTGTCTACGCACATATCAACTTATACATTACACTTGTTTGCATACACATCAACATATACATTAAACTTGCCTGCACACACACCAATGTAGACATTATTCTTGTCTGCACACACATCAGTATATACATTATACTTCTTTCTACATACATATCAACTTATACATTGTACTTGTTCACGTACACATCAGCATATACATTAGGCTTGTCTGCACACACATCTGCATATACATTATACTTCTCTGCACACATATCAGTGTATACACTGTACTTGTTCTCTTTTGAAGGTTACTAATATCCTGTGGCATCTATACCTAAATACTTCAAAATGTATCTAAGAACTAAAACCTTTCTGACATAAGCACATTACCTTCACCATGCAACAAGGTTCTCATATTAATACAGTGATAAAGCTCATAGACAGTTCCTATTCAACATACTGCAGTTGCCCTAGCGGAAGGCTTTTAAAGTCATTTGTTTTCAAAATCTGGTCTCATCAAGGATCTCAGACTACATCTGCTGTTGTGAGATTGCTTCCGTGCCACCAATTTACTTTACCCAGGGTTCAAGACACTGACTTGTACCACGGCCTATAGCTAGACTTGCCTGGGTTTTTCACTCATGAGAAGACAAAAGGTAAATATGTTGGCAAGAAAAAAATATATGGTTAATGTTGTATTTTACCAGTTCTGTTTGATTAGGTGGCATAAAATATCACCACTGAAATACAAAGTTCAATAGCAGAAAGCGAGGGTGACTCACTATCTTTATCAGTTAACACACATTCTAATTTAAGATAATGAACAAATATAGAGATATTTAAAAACATTTAAAGATCCTGACTGTCAACTTATCCTATTGTTTTATTGCACATTGCTATTGTGTCTTAATTATTTACACTGGATCCTAAAAAAGTGATTTTTATCTATTTCTTTTTTATTTTAATTGGCAATTTCTTTATGAAGATACCCCTTTCTCTCTTAACATCAACTGCTTGTATTTCTTCTGTTTATTTGTCATGTATTTACATTATCTTCTATTACGGTATGTGTGCATGTGTGTGGGTCTAGAGCTAGGGTCTCATTTTGCAGCCCAGGTTAGCCTTTAATTCACTATCTGGCTCAGACTTAGACTGCACTGATACTCAGAGAAATTCTCCTTCCACAACCTCCTGCAAGGCCTCCTCCTTTATTTGTTGTTTGTTTTCTTTTAAGTCAAAATGCATTCTTATCTTCTGCTTGTTTGTAGAATGTTTGTTGGCCATCTCAGGCTATCACTGGGCTTCTGTGTGTCCTTTAATGGGTCACCTTCGGTCTTTAACTACTTCTTAGTTTTCAGTAAACAGGGCATTTGGGGCTCGCCCTGGACCTCATACCTGGTCCATGTGTAATCAGTTATTTCCCGCAGTGCTTTGGTTTCTTTCAGCAAGGAGTGTCAATTATTAGCAACATCTGGTACTAGGTGTGCCGATGGTCTTGGGTGTTGTTTCAGGAAATATATAGATAAATAAGATAACCAATACCCAAAAGCTGCTCTTCACCTACCACCTTTATATTTTATCTCACTTCTTCCGTAGTAACTGGGTGGTTTCCTTAAACATTTAAATACCCATATATATGATTTTAAAATATATAACAATATTTTGAACATAATTGTGTCATAATTTCTACCTACACTGGAGTAAAAATCGAGTTTTCTTGGCAATCATTTTGGTAGCTGAATAATTACATATTCTGTTGCCAATGTTTGCAGCCTACAGTTCGGGTGAGTTATACAGAAAGAAGTTTCACTGTGGCTCGTGTTTCTGAAAGCGAGAGGTTGGGGTACATAAATGATGACAGCCTTTATCCTGGAGGTCTGCAGATGGGAAGCAGGGTACACGCATGTGTGCACAGGTCTGTCTGGTTTCCTCTTTCCTTTGATAAATCTGCTAAGACTTTGTCATAGAAGCTTTATTCTAAAACCTTATGTAACATTGATCACCTCCCAAACGCCCCACATTCCAACACCTAGCTCCCCATCTTTCTAATACTTTACAGTGGGAGGAAACTCCAGTGTAAATTCCCAGGGCAGACCATTTCTCTCCATAGCAGCTCAAATACATTTTATTGTAAAGATGTCTGTATCCACAGTTGGTTTAAATCTTTCTCTCCCTCCCAAGTGAGTTATGTTTCCAATACTTACATTCAGTATTAATGTTTGTTTTTAATTCATTTTTATTCAATTTGAGAATGTCAAAAAATCAAAATTACCTTTTAAACGAATAAAATGTCTCTTCCTTCTTAATGATGCTCAGATCCTAATCACTAGCTAGAAGTTTACATCAACGAGCCAACAGAATTTAGGCTGCTAATCAATTGGCCTCAGAATCATGGGAGTAACATGAATTCTCTTATGGCTTGGAATGTCATCACAAGGGCACTCAAGTGTGAAAAGCGGGTAGATAGAAACACATTCTAAAACACCCTAGACAGCCATGGCAACATAGGAGTGGGAAGACAGCTCAACAGGTTAATGCCTGCCACATTATGAGCACCCCAAAATGACTCCCAGCACCCACATAAGAAGGGATCCAGATGTGAGACCATGCTCCTGTAATGCCTGCTCTGGGGACAAAGAGACAGGAGGATTCCTGGAGCTCACCCTTCTGCCAGTCTAGCTGAGTGAACCTAGCTGGATGCACAAGGCACAAGCTCTAGGAACACTGAGGCCCCGTCTAAAAAATAAGGTGGAAAGCAACTGAGAAAGACAGTCGGTATCAACATTTAACTCCTATAAGCGTGCTCACTCATGTGCATGCACACCCCATGCATGTACACACACACACACACAAACACACACACGCCCATGCCAACAGTGTTCCCAGCTAGGAAATACTTCGCTGGATGTGGGTGAAATTTCAATTTCTGCGAAGCTTTGCTCAAGTCTACGTTCAGCTGAGTTAAAGAACAGCCGGCTCCATTTCCTCCATCATAACCTAGCTGTATCTCACGCACTGAGTTGCTTTTCCAAGCTGTTTAACTTTGATCATAAGGGTGATTTGCCAATGTTTTAACTTGGCTGAGCTGTTGCCAATACATTTAGTTGCTTGCTTAGTTTGGAGCACAGTTTTAGAGGCAGTGATTTAATACTCCACGCTCATTTTACTGAAACTAATCTTGAGTTTTTTCTTATTCTGAAAATACATTTAAGGTACCATTCTCACTTCCTGAAAGAGTTAATCTTAAAAATTATAAATAGCAGTGGTGAAAATTCTGGGGGATAATATGAATATTATTTAAAATGGTGATATAGGAATGTGAATTCAAGCTTTCAAAATACTGATATTAATATGTACAGAAAATGCTTAATCACTTGCTGAATTATCTTGCAATGATTATTTAATTTTTTTTATTGGTAAGTGTCTACAGACAAAGGGAGAATATTTTGCAGTTAACACCAAAAATAGTGATTTTCTATATCATAGTTATTATCCCAATATGGCATTTCTGACAAACAAAGGGGCACTGCGCACACCGTGTAACTCAGTCTACTGTTCGACTCAGGCCTCCGACTGACTTGAGGAGGCCCACCCACATGGAAAACAGACTGTTCCATTGGAAAACAAAAATCATCTAGAATATTATTTAACAACATATCTGAGCACTGTGACTCAGCCAAAGTGACACATAAAATCACCACCTGGCAAACTTAGTCACACACACACACAAACACCTGCCCTTTGCTTTGTTCCACGCTACAGAAGGCAGTCTTTTGCATGATTACATACATGACTCAGGTCTCACAGTGACTCATGAGGTAGATGCTGTCTCTTTTATAAGCAAGGAAACCAATAAGAGCAAAATATTTTGCATTTAACACCGAAATAAGTGATTTTCTATATCATAGTTATTATCCCAATATGGCATTTCTGACAAACAAAGGGGCAGAGTCAAGTCAGGACAATCAGAGTAAAACAGAGTGTCCTGGACAAAACAGAGCATGGCCACCCATGACTCTCTTGGGCCATGTAAATTCCTGAGAATATCAGATTCATC